AAAATAAATACTAAATAAATAAATAAAATAAATCATACAAACTGACGTATGGTATCAAGAAGAAAGCAAATTCACTGATCTGGTTCTTTGAGGGTGTCAGAAGGCACATGGACACTGGTGCCAACAGACAGAATTTATTTGGAGTTCAGAATGGCCTCTGACAAGTTTGTGAATTCAGTGTTTATATTATTACTTCATGACCCTGGATGGGGTTGCCCAGCCCTGATTTATGAACTCTCAGCCAGCCATACAGGGTGGTCAGCCATGCCACATTGGATTTCTGTTGGCACAAGAACCAAAGTCTTAAAGATTCACAGGTTTTACCCAGCAGTAAGCAAATGCCCCATTTGTCAAGCAAACAATAGTAACAAGAAGCCAAAACAAGACAAAGCAAGCACTGGGTCTGAGTCATGCCTCCAGGCCCAGAATTATAGACTTTAGAACTGGAAGGGAGCAGTTACGGGTTGAATTTTGCCTCCCACAAAATTCTTATGTTGAAGTCCTAACCCCCAGCCGCTCAGAATGTGACTTTATTTGGAAATAGGGTCATTGCAGATGCAATTAATTAAGATGAAGTCATACCAGAGAAGGGTGGGCCCCTAATTCAAAATGATGGATGCCCTTATAAAAGGGGAAATTTGGACACAGCCTTGCATACAGGGAGAATGCCAAGTGAAGATGAAGGAAGCCTTCTACAAGCCAAGGAGGGAGGCCTGAACCACACTCTGTCACAGCCCTAGGAAGGAACCAACCCTGCCAACTCCTCGATTTCAGACTTCTAGCCTCCAAAACAGTGAGACAATAAATTTCTGTTGTTTAAGCCACCCAGTGTGTGGTTCTTTGTTACAGCAGTGCTAGCATGCTAATACAGAAGCTTGGAGGTCAGTGGACTCTCCGGGACAGTGTCCTGACAGAGGCCATCAGCTCAGTCTGTTTTTAAAATGCATGTAAATTTTGAGTTCCGTGATTTAGGAGGGTTTGGTGGGAGAGCATAATATCAGTGCCTGGGGGTTCTAAAAAGTCTTAACTGGCTAGTTCTTAACGGAAAAGGACTAGGAAGAAATAAACCAAAGTATTAAATAGAGATTCTCTGGGGAGTAAAATNGGAAAAGGACTAGGAAGAAATAAACCAAAGTATTAAATAGAGATTCTCTGGGGAGTAAAATTGGGGGTAAAAGGTTATTATTATTTTTTAATGCTTTGTATCTATATTTTCTCATTTATATGAGGAATATGTGTTGCTTTGAATGAAAAAAATTGTAAAGAACATGCACTTTATTACTGAGTCAAAGTTGACTCCATTCAGTTTCAACCCTTCGATGCTAATTCTCTCCTCTAGAGTTTCATACTAGACTCTAAATTTGTCCTACTCCTCATTAAGAGGCAAGGCAAAAGGAAAAGAGAAGAATCTCAATCTCTGTACCCCATGGTTAAATTTTTCTGAAATTACCACATAGCAAACGAAACATGACTAGCTTGTATGACATGTTAATTTTTTAACCCAATGTTTACATCCAGTGAACATTTATCTCTCAGTTCAGTGAATATTGTTGAACTTCAGGTCTGTCCCTTCTCCAGTTCCTGACTCATAGTAGGGGTTCAAATAGTTATTAAATGGGATATAAATATGGGATTGTAAATTATTCCAGTCCAGGGACAGACTTGAACCACTACTCTTTGGAGGGAAACTTCATAAAAGAGGTTTAGTCGCCTCAATAACAATTTTGAAAAGACAGGAGATTTATATTAATGT